GGACCACGCACGCCAGAGCGCGAATCTTGGTTAACGTCAGCTGCGTGTGTGGACCCCGGCTGCCGAGCGAGCCGGAGCTGGCGGCCGCCGACGCTGGCTGTCGCCCGGTGTCGGCTGTGTCGTCCGATGGACGGCCACCGCACCCTCCGCTTGCCTCGCGTGAGCGTGCTCCCGAGCTGACATCGCCCCGGCGCGCCAGGTCTGCCGGCGCGTGGCCGCGGCTTCGGCCGGCCCGTGCCGCGCGGCGACCACTTCCGCTCCCGGCCGCCCAACACATCGCGGCCGCCGTCACTGCACGTGGACGACTTTGTGGCACTGGAGAAGCGCGGCGAGCACCCGACCGGCCCCACCGGCTACAATAACGTGCCGCGCGCGCCGGCGCGAGGACGGGTACGTGGCCCAGCCGAGCCTGCCCGCCCCGCCGCCGTCGGCAGCTGCAGCGCTAGCTGGTGGCTGAACTTGTGTTCGTATTTATGATCAGCAGCTGGTCGGCTGTTGGGTATTGTATTCTTATCTGTAGTCGGTTCAGCGCCGGTTTTGTGCCTTGGAATGTGCGGTTGTTCGCCCTGTCATTTGGTTACTGTGATGACGACAAACTATGCGGACAGACAGAAGGTCTGCAAGGGAATCGCCTTGCAGACGGGCGCCCGCGAGGCGTCCCCCGCTATTCTCGAGCACGCGACATGGGACTGCGGTGATTGCGCTTGCCGCGATCACACACTGATGTGGTGTCCCTTCCGGACAGGAGGGTTGATCACAGGCATATTTGGATTCTAGATGCATGATCTCAACAGGATGTGCTCTGGCAACGTATCCAGGTCTTTCCTGCGCCCACGGTGTCCTGATCTGCTGTGTGCCTCCAGGGCTCTGGCAGGTCACGGGCCAGGTCGCGAGGAGCCTTCGACAGGGCACGTGGCGGCTTCTCAGAGTTCCGAGGCGGCAGGAACCGCGGTGAGTCAAGGCTCTGTCTCGAACTGGCGTCGATCGTCGCCCAGAACTAATCGTGATCCATTGAATCACGTTCGGTCTGGAGCTTGTTTACAAAATGTATGCGAACGTGACGACGCGCATGCCGAGCAGCAAACCCTGTCATGTGTACTATGAACCCCCAGTCCGAGCCGGGAATCCAAGGATTTGTACAACTTCATTTCAACGGAGACCCTTTTTGTTCAGCGCTCGACCTCGTTCACCTTGGTTAACGCTTCTGGTTCTTGTTTAGACCAGGCTGCTGATGTGTAATGACTGTTACATACATGCCACATGGTACACCCAACCCCGGGAAGGCTGGTTGTGCCGCTGCTCACTGGCTTAGGTCAGATATTATTGACCCGTGACTGTCATTGCTAGATCGCGTGGCGTTTTGGTTTTCGTAGAGATATGAACGGCTCATACTGCTAACGCGTAGCATCGCTATCGCTACTAAAAGGTCTTCCATAGCAAGGCCCGTAGTTGAGTGTGTGGATATACATCTGAAAGAGCACATACAATATGCCACGTGCAAGCGTTAGAGTGACCTGGTGGCCATCTGAGCCACGCTGGCAGTGCTGGCCGGCTGCCTGACGGGCCTCTCGCTCTCCGGCAGGAGGCGGACCGTCGGCGGCGCGGCGGCGGCGGCGGTGGCGGTGGTGGTGGTGGCGCCGGTACTGACGGCTACCGTAGCAGTCCGGCCCGGTACCGCGGCGACGCCCGCCACGAGGACCGCTTCGGCGCCGGGGGTGGTGGTGGCGGGCAGCGGCTTTCGCGGTGGTCGGCGCGGCGGCGGCGGGGGCGGCGGCGGCGCCGGGCCACCCTATGGCGGCCGCTTTGACAAGCGGGACCGCTTCGGCTTGGGCCGCGAGCGAGGCGGGAAGCACTATCGCGCGTTTGGCCGGTAGATGGTGCTGCGGTCCGAGTGCACTCGCGCACATAGTTGTAACTGTGCAGGTGCTCCGTGCCATCCCGGAAGGCCGCTAGTAGGCCACGGACATGGGTTTCATAGCCTGCCTACATGGTACCCCATTTTGTGATGGAACATTTGGGCGAGGCTGCGTCGTGCACCATTGTACAAACTGCAAATGTGATGTGCACTAGTTGTGAATACACATGACCTACGTGGTGACAGGCATAGTGCACAGCTCTCCAGTTTAGATCCAAATATTTGAGCAGGAGGTGCAGCTTACCTATTTAATCAACAGTGCTTAATATTGCATTGCATAATATTGCAATGGTTCGGCAAAAACGGAAGCTTCGCTGCCTCAAGTCTGGGCGCGGTACTGAGGCCCGTAAGGTAGCAGCACTGGGCACGGGTTCCAGCCAGGCGACTGGCTTACTGCTTGGCGTGCCTGGTATGGAAAGGCTGGTTGGCAAACGCCGCTCTGGCCCGGGGCCACTATGCCATATTTCATCCAGTTTCAGGAGTTAGAACTCCGCAGGACCTGATAACTGCTGGAGGGTAGCTGGCCGAAACGCGTGCGTGGTAACGTCGCCAGGCGGGGACGATAGTCGGAACAGCCATTCCAATCGTGATACTGGAAGATTATTCTACCACCGAGGGTCACCACCATAATGGGGTCGTCAACACGCTCCTTTGGTAAGGGATATGGCAGTTGCGTTGCTGGTGTTAGTGACCAACCCGTCGCTATGGTCGTAATACATTAACAAACGCGATCTACATAATTACATTTCAAACGCAGCCGCGACAAAATATTGTGACTTCAATGCGGTCTCTCGTGCGAGGCTTTCGTGTCTTCTCGCACGGGGGCGTTTTTTCTGCTGATGGGGGCTTAAAGGGCGATAAAGCGTCGTGATATCCCGTACTTACATGCGTTAGCTGGTGAACGGCAGGTACGTAAGTAGCTCATGAAGAATTTGTTGACCTTTATTTTAAATGCTGCTCGTGTTTGGTGTCTTGAAGGCCGTAATGATGTTTTTATTGATATATTAGGAAGGTGCACGACCACATATTGCATGGTGTTGAACTTCCCCAGTGTGTACCCTTGCATTTTTGTAGCTTACCACTTTCGCACCTGCCTAGTGGATGGAGGGAATATTCTATGTCATGGTTTTTGTATGTCATGATTGAGTTTTACTGCAATAGGGAAAGTGGTAATCCTATGTCAAGTCAAAGGTTGTAAGTTTTGGCCTGACTTTAAGATGGGTTGACCAACAGTCTATAACTAAGCTACTCCACCAACATGTATAAGTGTTGGAGGCCAGTTATTTACAAAGCGTTTTTGGGTGCTGACCTGATTTAGTTTGGTAGTGGGGTTGGATTGTTATGTGACTTGCAATGCCATTTCAGTGAGTGCATAGATCCAGTCATTTTTTTTCTATTATGGTGCATTCATGTGCCATGTGTATCACATTCTGATCCTGATATCAACTCCTGGTTTGTGTTGTTTCAATCAATATACCGGTTGTGGCATTTGACCACCTGATGATGTATCCTCAGTTTGATTTCCAATAACCGACATAAACCAAGTGTCATTGTGGGCAAGCTACAGGTTGGACATCTACCATCAATAAGTTACCACCAGTCTGCCATCTAGAATGGGTATGCCATGGGCTGATTCTGCATACAGCAGTTGCTTAATTTTTGCAAAGAAGCTTTACAGCCATTGGTTAGAAATGAATTAAGCATGAAGACACTTTCCCTTGTTTCCACAAAGCTGTTCATTCACCCATACAATGTGTATCAACTGTATGGGACAAAGCATGTAGCTGCACAAATGTCTATTTGTTGCCAAGCTACAAAATGTTGCTAAGCCCCTTCTTGCAATCAGCAAAAAGCACATGTGTTATGATATATGTGTTATCCAGATATGGGTCTCAGAATTTGACCACTTTGTGGTTTCCATGGGCTCTCCCTGTGTCAAAAAACATCTGCCACTGTGAAGACTGAAGTAGTTTCATTTATATGTAATTTTTGCATTGCAAGATAGGAAATCATTTTATTTTTCAAGTGGTGTATGATTTAGGTTTCTTGCCAGTTGTTTCTGGCCATGACATCAAAATATCAAAAAGACAAAAAAGAAAATGCTCTCCTGAACAAAAATGAAAAAGCCAGTTATGAGTTTTTGACTTTTGACAACAGATATGACACTAGAAGTGTGCAATCCAGTGTGTCAAAGTGCATGCAATTCTGTTTTAGCACCTTCATAGCATGCATGGTTTTGATGAAGGAAGATGTACTTATGCTTTACTTTCATCATGTTGGGCAGCTTTAAATCAAACGAGCAGCTGGAGGATCAAGCCAGCTGCTGGTTGTATCCATCAGAGATCACTTACACTCATACTCTGATACATTAATCTGGGAGATTTCACCCAACCTTTCTGTCATCATCCTGACTTTGCTCCAGCTCATTTACTTGTATATAGCAGTGCATACCTCTGAGGCCTTCTCACCATCTGTTACAGCCGATCACAATGTTCATCGAGGAAGGGATAGGCCAGCTGTTTATTGTTCAGTGAGCCCATTTTATCAACTTCTCCCTCTCCAGATGTCAGCTCCGAGTGGAACTCAGATGCGTGGGCTGTATCGCGGCCTGCTTCGCTACGGCCAGACTCTGCAGCTCACTGACAAGGGCTACTTCTATCGGAGGGTGCGCAGCGAGTTTGACAAGTCCCGGCACGTCGAAAGCACAGAGCAGCGACGCTTCCTGTTTGAGGTGACTAGGCCTGTTACATTGCACTGGCTGCTCCCTGTGCCATTGCATGGATAGGCAGTTACGGCACTAGGTCAGGACATTAATTTTTTGCGAAGCATATCGTGGTCGTATGCCCGCAATTGCCCCTTCAATCTAGTCGAAAATGTGTCGTGCCAGCCACTGGGTTGGTGCCATGTTCACTCACAGAATTCATTGTTTTTCCTTACCACCTCACCCAACGCCGAAGAGATGACTCCAAAGCCTTTCGTGGGGGCTTTTCGTTCTAAAGCGAAGCGAAAATAAGCATTCGAATTGCAGAGACGATTTATACCAGCTGCGCGCCGCTCGCCCCCGCCGCTGGCGCCATATAGCGGCCAGCCAGCCGCGACACTGCCCCCGCTCCTTCCGTGTCCGCCAGAAGGGCCACTCCGTGCTGAGCCGGCGCCGGCTGGTCTGAGCATGCTCTCCTGGCTGGCGTCGGCCGCCACTGCGCCGCTGCTCCGTCGCCGCCCGGCGGCTGGCGGCCGCCGCGCGCGCCGCCAGTCGAGACGCCATCGATCGCTCGCGCTTCCCGGAGCTGCAGGAGCGCGAGCTGGAGGAGCGTTTCGTGCGCGGCAGCGGCCCGGGCGGCCAGAGCGTCAACAAGACGGCTAACTGCGTGTCCCTGAAACACGTCCCCACAGGTTGGTATGGCGACAGTCGGGGATTTACTGGTGGCGGCGGTAGTAGCGCATGCCGAGTTCCCTCGCTCGGAAGGTTTTGTTGTGGCCAGGGGATTGGGGAGGTGCGTCGTGCAGTTAAGCGGGACGCAGCTCGCCGGCATTGTCCGGCGCGCTGGCAGCAGACTTGTGCTTGGTTCTGCTTCGTAAGAACACTAAGGCTCCCAACGCACGTGGTCGATTTCAACCTGGAGCTCCGATAAGCGCAGCGCGTTAGCTTGACTTCGCCTGCCGCTGTAGATTTGTTGAATGCCAGAGAAGATTCCGATCAAGCTGTATTGTATGGACCATATATAATCGTATTTAAGTTATACTTGCTGGTGCGGCCGTCTCATATCCAATGATGCACATACACTAACCGTTCCATAGAAAATGTGTTAGTATGATTGCGTTCCTTTCCTAGTCAACTTATGTGCGTGCCATTGGGGCTTTACGACGCACTCAGCTGCTGACGCTTTATGGCGTCGCCTGCCTCTCGCCCTAGCAGGAAGGGCGGACACCGTGGGAAACCGAACCCTGCACCTCTGGTCTCCCAGACGTGCGTTGGTTAATGCGGACGCGTTAACCACTGCACTACTCGGTCAGCTTGTCTCATCAGTTCTGTTGATTCGGCTTCCTCCCAGGTTCATACCGATTGTGCCATGTAGCTGATTCCGGAGCCGTTGCCGAGCCCAACTGACGGATGCAGGCAGTGCTCGCCGGCTGCTCATCCGGAGAAAGGACGAGAGCAAACTGAAGGGTAACGAAAGAGTTAACCGCGCTCTGTTCCAGTTCTTCAACACAGACATCCAAAAACGCACAGTCCTTGCGTTGCTTGGCGCCATAAGGTCGCCTGCGTGTGGTCACGGGTTTTCCCCGGGCTCGTCGGGCGACGCCCCTGACTGGCGCCGCCGCCGCCGCCAGGTCTGGTGGTCAAGTGCCACGAGTCACGCTCACTCGAGGTGAACCGTGCTGGCGCACGTCGGCTGCTGGCAGAGCGGCTGGACGGCCTGCTAAACGGCGAGCAGGCCGTGGCGGCGCAGCAGGAGCGCAGTCGCGCCCAGCAGCAGCAGCGGCGCGACGACCAGCGCCGCCGCCGGCAGCTGAGGAAACAACTGTGGCGCGAGCAGCAGGAGCCACCCGTCACGTAAACGACCAGCAGCAACGTAGGCTAGTTTGTTCGACTGTAGTGTTCAAGGGGCGGCAGCGCCGTGTTGGAAGCTGTGCTGTTTTCACGTCGATCGTTTATTTGCCGCACAATACATGCGAACGAAAGATTTGGCACTCCCTTACTGCCGTTTCGATCTATGACAACACCACGAACATGAAAAGAAGCGAACCGCGACCTTAGCACATAAACACGATCACTTCGACAGTAACGAGCGCTTCTTGGCTGCTGTGCTGGGCGACCGCGGGTCGGTGGCGGCAGTATGGGCCATCCAGCCGGGCAGCTTCCGCTTGGTGCCAGGCCGCGGCACGACCGGCGAGTCGTCCTCGGAGTCAGAGTCGGACAGCAGGTTCCCGGGCCGCAGTCTGACCGGCGCCCGCCGTACCGGGGCCGGTGGGGCTCTGTCTTCAGCCCGGGCCGGCCGCGAGCCGACCACGGCCCGCGCCGGCCGCGAGTTCACCTCGTCCGGGTCTAGGCGGCCCCATAGCGGCCGGGCCGGCGCTGCGGCCTCGCCCTCGTCTTCGTCGGCCGCGGCGGCGGCGCCGGGCCAGCGGAACCGCTCCGGTGGTGGCGGCGGCGGCTCGGCGCTCGGTGCCGGTCTGACCTCGGCCGCCCGCTCGGCGGCCAGCAGCTCCGCCTCGTCCGGATCCGAATCGTCGCCGAACGGATCCACCAGCTGGAGGCCAGCGTCCGGGCCGGACAGTGACGCGCCCGGCCGCTGGCTGCGGCTGCGACACCGGAGGCGAAGGCGGCGAGCCTGCCGCCGGCGCCAGGTAGCGCGTCAGCCGTGCTTGCGAGGTCTCCAGTCGGCGTGCAGGCACGATGGTGGTGGCCGGGCCGCGCGCCGACAGCCAGCCTCCGTCCGACGGCTCGGCGCCGCCCGATGAGGGCGTGGCCCGCTCGGGGGAACCGGTCGGCTGGCTGGCGGGCGGGGCGGCGGCCCGCTCGGTCTGCGGCACGCGGCGAACGCGAGGTGAAGGCCTTACACCACACACGGCGCGGCTCGCCTCAGCCACTGACCTTGCTTCATATGGCGCACGTGATGACCCGCCCGACTACACGGCACACGACAAACGAATCATCAGATGAGCTGGAAAGTCGTGCATTATATGTGATCTGTAGTGACGACGTTACCTGGGGGCGGCCGGCCGAGCTGCACGAGCGACCGGTCAGGCCGTACAAACGGGCGATCACGGCCAGGCAGGTCTTCAACTGGTCGTAGGTCACGTCGTCGGGACAGTGCTCCTTGATCACGCGGAGGCGACTGATGTCTGCAGGACACCGGGCGTCAGTTCGTCGCGCACATGACACGGCTCTGAGAGATCCTTTCCGCCAGGTCAAGGAAATCTGTCTGACCAGTCACAGTCGCGGACCAGCCGGCGAATGACACTAGATTTTGACCGGCACGCGCCGTCTTGTGAGCTCAAACGCTCGTCCCATAAGCCATCGGTGACACATCAGTCTCTAAAACAACCGCCGGTGCATGATGACCTTTGCAACAGGCCGTCCAGTTGTTGGAAGCGGACAGCCAAGCAAACATGCTTGGCGCGACGGTAACCAGTGAGCCACCGAGAGCTAGCCCCCGGCCCGTCCGCCGTGTACCCTGCCCTGCCAACCTCCCCCCTCCCTCCCTCCCTCACCGACCTGAGCCGATGGCAGGGCTGCGGACCACGCGGGACACCGTGTCCACCAGCGGCCCTGATCCACATCCAGCCGGGACAGGTCCACCCGGCAGGCCCCAGCTTGATGGCCTCGCACAGGTGGCCCACCACCGTGGACGGCTTTGTTGTAGCGACCTGAGCCGCACAGGTGCGCACGGTCACTGGCAGAGCGGCGGCACGGCTTCAGTGAACAGAGCCCGCACGGTCACTGGCAGAGCGGCGGCACGGCTTCAGTGAACAGAGCCCGCACGGTCACTGGCAGAGCGGCGACACGGCTTCAGTGAACAGAGCCCGCACGGTCACTGGCAGAGCGGCGACACGGCTTCAGTGAACAGAGCCCGCACGGGCGCGCACGGTCACTGGCAGAGCGGCGACACGGCTTCAGTGAACAGAGCCCGCACGGGCGCGCACGGTCACTGGCAGAGCGGCGACACGGCTTCAGTGAACAGAGCCCGCACGGGTGCGCACGGTCACTGGCCAGAGCGGCGACACGGCTTCAGTGAACAGAGCCCGCACGGGCGCGCACGGTCCACTGGCAGAGCGGCGACACGGCTTCAGTGAACAGAGCCGCACAGGTGCGCACGGTCACTGGCAGAGCGGCGACACGGCTTCAGTGAACAGAGCCCGCACGGGCGCGCACGGTCACTGGCAGAGCGGCGACACGGCTTCAGTGAACAGAGCCCGCATGGGTGAGCACGGTCACTGGCACAGTGGCAGTACGGCTTCAGTGAACAGAGGTTCTTCGTACAACCCGCAACAGGATGACAGCGTTCCATAAATCCAAGGCATTCACGGCTCCAATGAAATGATGCTGTTGATCTCGCCCCATTCATGGTAATCAAACATCCCCGCAAAATTGCTATGGATGCCCCACGGCTTCGCTGAAAAGATACTGATGCTGGCAATCCTGCATTATTCGTGACAATCTGGCACGGATCCAAAAGAGTCGCCTCGAAGCTGAAGCTTGCAGAACGCCGACGCTCTCCTCTCCCCGTGCAGCCCCACCAGGACTGGCAAGAGGATGGGCTCCGGTTCAGACGAGTCCGCACCGTTCTGCGGCCGCTCGCTCCACGCTGAGACCGTCCCGGCACACGCTGACGTAGCTGTGGCGCTGCGTATCCGACATGTGCATCAGCATCGCCTCCTCCTCCTCCGCCGACGGCCCCGACGCGCCCGCCGCCTGGCGGCAGCGGCGCGAGTCACAACGCACGTCGGTCAGCGCTGTGGCGCGCAGTCGTTGCGGACTTTTTGGCGTCAAGCCAAGGACATCAGCAATGAAGATGACACCAGTGCATCTGTCGCATACTGGAGCACGCCAATCTGCATGGCAGATCGCCACTCCGGGATCACCACTCCCGAACACCACCCCGAACACTACTCCCGGACATCTCTCCCGGGCACCACTCCCGGACCCCATACCAGGATCCCCACTCCCGAACACCACCCCGAACACTACTCCCGGACATCTCTCCCGGGCACCACTCTCGGACCCCATACCGGGATCACCACTCCCGAACACCACCCCGAACACTACTCCCGGACAACTCTCCCGGGCACCACTCCCGGACCCCATACCGGGATCCCCACTCCCGAACACCACCCCGAACACTACTCCCGGACATCTCTCCCGGGCACCACTCCCGGACCCCATACCGGGATCACCACTCCCGAACACCACCCCGAACACTACTCCCGGACAACTCTCCCGGGCACCACTCCCGGACCCCATACCGGGATCCCCACTCCCGAACACCACCCCGAACACTACTCCCGAACATCTCTCCCGGGCACCACTCCCGGACCCCATACCGGGATCACCACTCCCGAACACCACCCCGAACACTACTCCCGGACGTCTCTTCCGGGCACCACTCCCGGACCCCGTACCGGGATCCCCACTCCCGAACACCACCCCGAACACTACTCCCGGACATCTCTTCCGGGCACCACTCCCGGACCCCATACCGGGATCACCACTCCCGAACACCTCTCGGTCCCGCCGCCGCGCGGTCGGCCGCGCACGGCCAGCCCTCGCGTCGCTACGGCCCGCACCTGCTCGGGGAAGTTGTCCGTGGAGAGGTTGTACTTGAGCGCCATGTGGCTAATGAGCTCCACGATCTCGTAGCCGTACTTCTGCGCCTTGATGTCGGTGACGCCCTCGACGGCGACCAGCCGGCGCACGGAGCTGGGCCGCCGCCGCGCCAGCTCCAGCAGCGTCTTGTTGCTGGCCACCATGTAGGGCATGACGCCCAGCTGGTCGCTGAGGCGGGAGCGCAGCGCCAGCAGCTCCGTGTAGAGCAGGCCCTGGCGACGCCGGCGGCGGGGTCAGGCGCGCAAGCCGCCGCGGGCGGGACGCAGACGGATGGACACGGCGAACGAGGCCGGGACGCGGGCAGACGGGTACAGCGGCCGGGGGCGGGACGCGTGACGCAGGCAGGCAAGACGCAGCTGCGGGGCCAACAGTTCAGAGGATGCGGCCGGACGCGGACCGTATCAGACACCTGAGCAGGCTACGACAGCTGCGGCGCGCCCCGACCGGCGTCGCTCGCGGGCTGACATCAGCGATCGGACTCGCCGGCGGCGACGGTCAGACACCGCCTCCGGGCATGACACCAGCTAGGCCGCCGACGGCCGGATGCCGCCCGGGCGTGGGCGACCTGAGCGCGAGCGGGGCCGCTGGGGCGTACCCGGTACTTGAGCTCGGTCGGGTCGGGCAGCGGCTCGACGGTCACGCCGCACACGGCCTGGTCGTCGGCCGGCCGGTCCGGCAGCACCTGGCGGCGCGCCGAGCCAGCCGCCGCCGTCACGTCGGCGAAGTCGGTGTGGTTGGGCCGCTGTTGCGCGCGCATGCCCTCGGTGGGTACGAGCTCCAGCCGGGTGGCGCGATCACGGGCATAGCTGAGGCACAGGGCGCGTGAGCGGGCCGGCCGACGTCGTAGCGTGGCGGCGGCAGACCGGCCGGCACAAACATGGCGTGATAGCATGAGGTCACCGAATCAACCAACACACCGAAAGTACAACCTGTGCAACATAACAAGACGCACAAAGGGCTCTCAAAGGACGATGATGATATGGGCATGAGGGCGCGCCGACTGCAAGGATCACATGGTGCGTATGAGGTCTTTAATCTTTGCACTCGGTTGGTACGCTGGGCAGCGGACATGGCCAAATTCGGGACAAAGCAATGACGGCGTGGAAGCCACCGAGAAGCAACGCACGCGATGCGAAGCAGACGGCGGCAGCGGGTTGACTCACGCCTTCAAGAACTCCTCGCCCTTGGCAGTGACGTGTACTGTGGTGAAAAAGCTGGGCGCGCCGCGGCCGCGACCCCGCATGGCACCGCCTCGGGCGCGCATCGCACCTCCGCCCCGCTCGCCCAGGTACTTCTCGAACATCAGCATCTTCCCTGCGGCGGTGAAGGACAGGTCAACGGACAAACTTTCACACCCGATGGTCAGATTGTACATAGGGCACAGAGGTAAACAAATCAAGATTAATTTGAAGATAAGGCACAGACAGGTGTTTTGAAAGTGTTGCTTGTAACATGACTACAGATGGGTGCTATGCATGCTTCAGAGTAGCCAGACGTCAGTGCACAAGCGTTAAGCCAAAATGTCAGCATAGCACAGTAGTAATAGCATCATTCCTCGGAGAAAAAACCCAGGAGAAAGGAGGTATAGATACCTTGGTATTTTGGCAACACGCCTTTATTATTACCAAGATATGCCATGAAGCATAATATATTTCACAAGACAAAATAAGGACAGCGACATTATCATTCTCAATATGAACGCTGGAATAACTCACGAACCTAGCGCCTTCCAAAACACATCTGAGTATTCCTTTCCCGAGCCATGGCCTTCTTGCTCCTTCAGCCACTCCCAGACTTTCTTGTTTGACGAGCCTCGCAGATAAAGGATGGGCGTACTCAAGCCTGAAAATATCAGCAACAACCTTGAGACATCAGGTAAACATAATCACAGTGCGTTCCATCTCATATTCATCCATTTCTATGGCACTGCATTGTATCGTCCGTTCCGTCCGTTCATTGGTTTTTGTCACATCTACCACCGGCCGGTGTTAAATACAAACGCAACTAATAAGCCTATATTCTGTGTACACGTACGACAGCATCACAGCATAAAAGCAATGAAAACCAAGAGCTTTACAGTTAAGTACCTTGAGGCGATTACGTGGTTTATGTACGAAACGCCTTTAAGTCACAAGGACGTTAGCATCAACGTTTGCAATAATCGAACCGTCCGTCATCAATCAATCAATCAATCAGTCAAACACCAATCGATTTATCAATCAACGTTGATCAACGCATATGGAAGTTCCAACCGAATCTAGCACACAAGGTCCAACGCACCCAAACGGGTTACAGCGTTGAGCCAAAGATGAATTACATACTGGAAGTGCGGGTAGACGCGACACGAGCTCTACAGCACCTAAGGACAGAGCCCTCGCCGCGGCCCGTGTCCGGGGTGCCCGGCCGGCCGTCGGCGGCGGCACGCGTCTCACCGGACCGTCCCTTGCAGAGCTGCACGGCCCCCAGCAGCATGGCCGCCTGCGCCGCGAAATTGCGGCCGCCGTCCTGTTCGGTGGCGTCCGGGCCGGCCGTCCGCTTGTTGCCATACCTGCGCGGACCGACCGAGGCGGCGGCGTCATGTCGGGGCCCACGGCGGCGGCCGGCCGCGGCGCCAGCCCTGCACGAACTGGCGCCACTGACGGACGGCCACCTACGCGGGCGCCGAGTCACAGCGGCGGCGCTCCGAAGGCTTTGTAATTAACGATGGTCGGAACCACGAGCGTCCTTTTCAACCACGGCGAGTGACGTCACGCGTCTTTCTGGAGGGCGCAAGGACAGCGGTTCTCAAATCAGCTCGCAGTGACCGCAGCTTCAGCCGTCGAGCCCACTCGGCTTTCCCACGCCCAGATTCGACACCGTCGACTACGTCCAGATCCGATACTGTCGACTGCGCTATCACGCCGCCCAACTCTGTCTGAACTGAAACGGCCCCCAGTCCCATCGGCAGCTTTTAGCACGACGAAGAACACAGGCCCTATCTGTGCTTGTGGTCGCGAATACCAGCAGATGAGCCTACAAACCTGCCCGCCAGGGCCTGTGAGCGGCGTGGGCCTGGCCCCGGGTCTGTGGCCATGCTCCCCTCAAGGCTTCACGAAGCCATGCCGGGTTTCTTTGCGGCAGCCCGGACCGGCCGCGGCTCACTTGTTGTTGCAGTTATCGCAGCAACCGTGCCGTTCGCCAGCCGCGGCGACCGAGTCAAAGTGGCGCAGCAGCGCGCGGCGGCGGCAGCCGGTGCCGCTCAGCAACGCCTCGAAGCTCGTCAGCATGTCCAGCCGGTGCTGCAGGTACGACGCCGAGTTCACCGTACCCAGGAAGTGTCTGCGCAACACGTGACGTGCGTCACGGTGGGATGGCGGCAGACGATTGTCGTCACATAATCGATGCTGAGCAGCACGCGAGGCATCCGCAGAATTCGCTGCCCTCCGAATGCTGCGCGGTGCGGCGTGCGCTCTTCCCACGTCACGTCCTGCGACGCCAAGAGACGATGCGTGTGTCATCAATGGGTCAACGGCGCCGCCTCTGCTTGGTCCCAAATCTACGTTCACCTCGATCGGAATAGCGTTTCTTATTATGCGCAGAACCATTCGGTCACCTGGCATCAGTCACCCCACGCGTCGCCACCTGCCGTCCGGAGGTGCCCCCATCCGTCGGCGGGTCAATTTGGCCACGCGCCGGCCTCACCTGTGCAGCACGAAATCGGCCGACTTGAAGAACACGGTGCAGGCCGCCGCCTGACCGTCGCGGCCGGCCCGTCCGATCTCCTGATAGTAGGACTCCACGTCCCGCGAGGCGCCGTAGTGCACGATACGGCGCACATCTGAAGCCAGGCCGGCGGTGGGTCAGACTCGGGTCACGGCGGCGGGTCAGCTCGGGGAACGGCGACGGGGCAGACTCGGGGAACGGTGGTGGGTCAGCTCGGGGAACGGCGACGGGGCAGACTCGGGGAACGGCGACGGGTCAGACTTGGGCCACGGCGGCGGGTCAGACTCGGGACACGGTGGCGGGTCAGCTCGGGGAACGGCGGCGGGTCAGACTCGGGGCACGGTGGTGGGTCAGCTCGGGGCACGGCGGCGGGTCAGACTCGGGGAACGGCGGCGGGTCAGCTCGGGGAACGGCGGCGGGTCAGATTCGGCGCACGGCGCGCCAGGGGTCCACAACGAGAGGCACACATCAGGCAGGACGGTGCTTCTCGCCTAGCTGGCTCGCCAGTTAACACTGAAACCTATCGTTTCACCGAGGACTGATCTGTCGTAGCTTCACATCCAATAGGTTCAAAATGTATCTATGCTGTTTCGGCACATTATTAATTCCCACCTGTTCATGCTCACTAAACTCTCAGCCGCAGCCACCCAGCGCTACCTGCTGCCTGAGTGCTACGCTGCCCGCCTCACAGATCATGCTGTGTACGTCGGGCCTCAATTCTAGACATCAGCTACGCACCTGGCTTATCGATGCCCATGCCGAAAGCCACCGTAGCGACGATGACGGACACCTTGTCGCGGACAAACTGCTCATGAGATGCCTTCCGCTGAGGCAGACTCATGCCGGCGTGGTACATCACACACGGCACCCCGGAGTCTGCCGGAGTCACACCAGGCTCAGACTCGACAGGACTGAGTCACGAGGCGGTACATCACACACGGCACCCCGGAGTCTGCCGGAGTCACACCAGGCTCAGACTCGACAGGACTGAGTCACGAGGCGGTACATCACACACGGCACCCCGGAGTCTGCCGGAGTCACACCAGGCTCAGACTCGACAGAACTGAGTCACGAGGCGGTACATCACGCACGGCACCCCGGAGTCTGCCGGAGTCACAACAGGCTCAGACTCGACAGAACTGAGTCACGAGGCGGTACATCACACACGGCACCCCGGAGTCTGCCGCAGTCACACCAGGCTCAGACTCGACAGGACTGAGTCACGAGGCGGTACATCACGCACGGCACCCCGGAGTCTGCCGGAGTCACACCAGGCTCAGACTCGACAGGACTGAGTCACGAGGTGGTACATCACACACGGTACCCCGGAGTCACACCATTGTCAGACTCGACAGGACTGAGTCACGAGGTGGTACATCACACATGGTACCCCGGAGTCACACCATTGTCAGACTCGACAGGACTGAGTCACGAGGTGGTACATCACACATGGTACCCCGGAGTCACACCATTGTCAGACTCGACAGGACTGAGTCACGAGGTGGTACATCATACATGGTACCCCGGAGTCTGCCGGAGCCACACCTCGATCAGACTCGACAGGTCTGAGTCACGAAGAAAGACACCAGTCAGACCTGGTGGAGGCCAGATCCGCTTCCTGATAAACGCCTCGCACCACAGTTCACCTGACGCGGGAGATCTCCTCGATGAGAGAGCATGCACACTTCATGCGATAAAGACGGCATGTCACCGAGGCTCGAAAGCGTAACGTTTCTAAACAGACAAGTTGTCGAAACTACACCAAATAAATTTCATGGGTACGCTTTCCGCCTAGACGTCATATCACACCGTCACGAAGATGTCAGTCACACCCACATTGTACCAGCCAGCGCGGCACACCAGCGTCAAACGCATCGCAGCCGCTTAATCCACGATGATATCCGGTAGACAGCACCACCATGCGTTAACACAGACCCCAACCCTGATCTGCGGTCAACTTTTTAAGTAAAAATTCAGAACATACCGTCACTTGGACTTACTGAGAAACGCGGTGTGGATGACCTCAGTGACCTTGCGCGTGGGGCAGTAGACGATAGTGGCGCCATCGAAGCGCCACTTGCCGTCGACTCGCTGCATGAGTGATGTGAGGTCACCCAGGGCGCTCGAGGATTTGGCCCGCACCTCCAGAAACAGATTCGGGCGATCGAAAGACGTCACAAGCGTGACGCAGTTCCTGCGGAGATTCAAGGTAGTTTGCGGTCAGTTACAACACTGCCACCGTTGAATCCGGCAGCGTTATTAGTTCCGGGGGTGCCACATAGTTATCGTTGACGAGGACACATTCTAACGTTTTCAAAACCTGATGGACTCATGTTACATCCAGCGCGCAAATTTTGTCGTAGCATACACATCGCTGGAACAATCAAAAGTACAACAATAAATAATATCAACCAGCGCAAATTTCTGCAATCACCATCGCGCCTACGTGATATGTACTGGCACTGTCCGGCGGCAGGCGGGCACGGCGGAGTGCCACATCTAACCTGAGCCACAGCGCCACAGCTTACCTGAGCCATGGCGCCACAGCTGGCCTGAGCCACAGCGCCACAGCTGACCTGAGCCATGGCGCCACAGCTGACCTGAGCCATGGAACCACAGCTGGCCTGAGCCACAAAACCACAACTGACCTGAGCCACAGCGCCACAGCTAACCTGAACCATAGCGTCACAGCTAACCTGAGCCACAGTGTCACAGCTGTCCTGAGCCATGGCGCCACAGCTGTCCTGAGCTAACCTGAGCTACAGAACCACAGCTGACCTGGGCCACAGCACGACAGCTGACCTGGGCCACAGTGCCATAGCTGACCTGGGCCACAGCGCCACAGCTGACCTGAGCCACAGCACGACAGCTGACCTGAGCTCAAGCGAGCGGACGATGTCTGTTCGAACCTCCGGCGTGGCTGTCGCCGTCAGCGCCAGGATCGGCACACCTGGCAACCCTTTCCGCAGCACGTCCAGCTTCCTGAGGCCCCGAAGAACATTTGTCAGCTCCCAAAAAACGGGCCGTCACTAAGGACCGGCCACTGACGTTCACACACAGTGTGACACTGGGGAAAGCGGACTGACTGTTCCATGCAGGATCCACGGAAGGCGGACAAATTCACAGGCAGCAGGCAGACCGCGCATCGAGGTCGGGACGTCCAAAGCAGAGAACGACGTTCGCCAGCCGAGCACGTGCATTGAACATGCATGCGAAACAGATAACACGCATGAAAGAAGCGTCACAACAACATATGTACAAACTAATCATAGCAACTGCAGCCTTTTCACCTTAACATGTTGTGCAGACATCCGCGGCAAGTAAAACAAACGTTCGCAAACTCCACGTGAACTAACAAACGCCAATGGCGATCACAATAGCTCATCCGCGTGGCCAGCTTCTGCATTTGATGTCGGCCCGCTTGGCCACATGCCCAATTAAAGCCCAGCACCCAGGACATGTACCCAGGTGGCGATGACGGATCAGATGTATGGTCTGGCCCATCCGTCGCGAACGCCTGAGCTGCACAACAGTCTAACCGACGGTAGGTCCCAGGGAGCAGACGGACCTGTAGGAGGACCTGAAGTCGTGACCCCACTGGCTGACACAGTGCGCCTCGTCCACTGCCACCAACGTTACGCCCGCGGAGTCGACCAGCTCTTGCAGAAACTGCATATTTTCTGGGGGAGGGGGGATACATTGCTTGTTCACGACTAATGACGCAAATTCCCCATATCCTGCAGGGTGCCAATAGTGTAATGGCTCAGCCTTGCGTCTGGAAGACCAGAGCCACGGTTTGGAATCCCCGCGGTGCCCACCCTTCCTGCCAGGATGGGAGGCAGGCGACGTCATATCGCCTCAGCAACTGAGTGCGTAGTGAAGCCCGTGTGAGCGACAGCTACCATACCATCCAGTGCAACCATTGCACCTGACCGCTTCTGCGCTTGCTAAGTGCGTAGTACCAGTCTGAACTGATCGCGCATCGCTACACTACATAATCAAGCGTTACATCTCATAAGCGTCCCCTAGAATCCCGGAATGTTCCACAATGTTCGTACTGATGTCTTACAAGACGCGTGAACGGACAGATGCAGACAAAGCTGACATGCCCGCAAATCAGTTGCAGAGTTTGCTATTAGTGAACACTCATTTAGTTTGCAGAGGTGCGGTATTGGATACGGGATCCTTGTGGTGAAGACAGCCCTATACCTATGTAAAATTTTAGGAAACGGAAAAAAATCAGAACGAGATGTGCTGTTCGGCACTTCTTGGTAAAAGGGCTGCCACAGTCTTCCGAGATATGATTAAGTTTTCGCATCGCTGTACAGCATGATGAAGACAACATTGCAAAAATGATGGAAGTTGCAGGAAGTGGTAAAGCTGACACACCACGCCATGAGACCGGGATGAAGGCACATGGCTCGATTCATTGCCGCTAAACGTCACCCAAAATAAGTGCGTTTTTCATTACTGCCGTACTTTCAGCATTTTGGGCGGTCTGAACGCCGCTGGGGACGTGCCCGCCGTAAGCTGTGACAAAATCCGGGCAACCATGTAAATAACTGAAAATGGCAACATTACAGCCTTTAAGGATTATCGGTGACTCCACCTGTCACACACAATTCACTGTGGAAGAGAGCACTGTACGGGTTTATGCGAGACCTCTACGCACAGCAGTCCCTTGACGGCCACCACGGAGCGACCTGTACAGGCACTCACCGACGGCGAACTCGGGCGTGATGTAGAGGACGCGGTACTTGCCCCGCCGCAGGTCCCGCATCACCTCACCGGAGCGGGTCTGGGCGCTGCCCAGCAGGCAGGCGGCGATCCCCGACAGCTGGAACATGGCCAGCAGCTTACACAGCTGCTGCTTTTGGTAGGGGGGTTAACACAGAATGCAGTCATCATCTTTAATCTAACAAAGTGCCTAATGTTAAGGAGATATTCTACGAGTTATTGAGGTCACTTGCATGAAATTGTTTTTTGGGCGAGAGAGGGGGGCATTGCGCACAATTTGGTGGGGCGTTAATGCTCACCAAATAACACAATAAGTGTACCTTTCAGACCATCATTCCTCCATAAAGGAGCAAAAAATAGCATGGATGTTGATAAATACCTCATGCTACTGTGTGGCGCGGCCTCTATGGCCCACGGAGTCCATATTGACGGCATCGAGCGCCGGACGGCGGGGTGACATAATCGCATACAACGCGAGCGCCTGCCCCCCCCCCCCCCCTCCCCCGCCTCCCCCAGCAGCCAGGAAGAGTGATGCAGGCAACATACCATGGCCACTCCAGAACCCAATCTGCCCTCCCCCTCCCCAGCCAGCCCACGCCCACGCCCACGCCCACGCCCACGCCCACGCCCACGCCCACGCCCACACCCACGCCCACGCCCACGCTGACGCCAGCCAGCCCATGCTGATGCCAGACCCAGGAGTCTGAAGCGGAGGATGCCCGCGCACCTGCAGCGAGAGGACCTGGTCCTCCATCAGCGAGATGAGCGGGGACACCACCACGCTGAGGCCGGCCCGGTGCACGGCCGGGTACTGGTAGCAGAGCGACTTGCCCGACCCGGTGGCCATCACCGCCAGCTGGTCACACGCGCCCTGCGGCGGGTGCTGGCGGTAACGAGGGTGGCTCGCCAGCACAGAACGCATTACTGAGTGGATGGAGAAGCCACTGCATACCTGACAACCAAAGCGGTTTGGACTGGGAAAAATATTTCTCAGTCAAATTTGTTTGAACATAATGTGTAGCTGCGTGGTTCATAGTCATTGAAACAGCATGCCAAGCAACACAAGCCGGCACGCTCCCATTTAGATGAGCCAGGTTCAACTTTGAATGACCTGATGATGACCCTGATGACTTGATGGCTCTAATTTTTAGAGACAAAGTTCAGGCACACCACAACAAAGTTAACATGACACATCTCATAATTTCAAAATCAGATATAAGCATGATAACTGAGGGCACAGTCTAACAGAAGATGTTCAGCAGTGCAATCAAGTTCAACAGCAGAAGTTCAGCAGCACAACAAACTACAAAACACTTCAAACAATTCATAAACACTCTCATGATGTAGAACATGCACATTCTGCCTACATTTAAGACTCTCCAAATAATGTCCCACTGCTTGGCTCTGAACTGCAGATGCCCAAAATACTTCTGAAGAGTGGCCAGGTGGCATGGCTCTGGGGCAGGAGTGGCATTTGAAGTCATCTTCTCTTGTTTTGTAACTATATGGAAGACATCAGTTTGAGCTGAAACAAACAAGGATAAAGTAGAACCTGTTCATGTCAAAATCCAGTTTTCAGTCCCTGAAAAAAGACAATGGCATATATGTTGTAATCCTAACACACAGGCAGTGTTCCATCCAGGCATGGGCCAGGGGGGCCTGCAAAAAATACATCTAATGCAACAGACATCTACTCAACCCTGGTGTATTGAACCTGCTCACACCAGCATACACCAAGCTCTGGCCAGGACACCTTGTGCTCAATGGTTGGATCACTTAAGTGCAAGAAATATTTGGAAGTAGGTGTAAAATTTCCTTCCCAGCATCATTATTTCCTGCAATATTGGCTCTATTGTCCACCAAACTTCAAGCACTGGAATTTACAACATGTTGCATATGCATGTGCACTGAAATTTTACTTAAATTCAATTTCTACTGCACTAGGACATGTGGATATGTTTCCAGGTAACTTTTTAAGTTTGGCCCAAGGCCGGAATTGGTTTAAGGGGCTCATACAAGGATCCCCAAAATATGGAGCCAAAAGATCCTGGCTTCACCCCTGGGATCCAGGCACACATAACATCACCTTATGCAAAATCATCACATTATCTAACCTAACATTATAATCCTACTATGTAAAGACATCATGTTTGGGTGCATGCTAGCCAATCAAACATAAGTATGCAAAAGCTCACACCTTAAAGAGAAAAAGAAAAAGGGTAGCATTAACAGTTTCAAGATGCTGCCAAAAGGTGCACCACAGTATCACAATTAGTGTTCAAGCCCTTTGAGTGCCTATACTATTATAGCCATTAAATTAGCAAATAAAGGTAATGTTATTATGCTATTTTTGTTTTGACCCTTCTCCTGCACTCAAGAAACAATTAGTGTACTACGGGTGTCTATAGTTGAGCATGATCCAAAAGTTTCCCAATAAAGATGTTGACTTTTTGTAATCATACTACTAAAACTGACATATTTGGAGCAGCACGCATTTTCCAGTCTGCCCTACACCCGAATAACAACCCAGCATTCTTAAAGAACAATCCCTCCTCAAAGGCCACATCTTCCGTTCTGTCCTAACCGGCTTAATTGTGGACACCTGCTTACGATACTATACACAACGCTCGAACTTGTCTTAAAATTATTGTAAGCCCAATCGTGCACATAAATCCCTACCCCCGTCCACTGACCACACCGTCCCCAACAGCCTCACGTACGATAAAAAAAAACATTAGGGATCATGCGTTAGTTATGCAAGTTTCAGTAAGTCCAATACGCGCAGCATTTGAAATCAAATCATCGGGCGCCAATTCTGCTAGCAGCGGTCTAAAAAACCGGCATATGACGCAGACATGCAAGTTTTCCGAGACGACTCGTCCGATCGTCCTAAAACCTTTGATAACATGATAATTTTGAGACCTGACCCAAGGTCAAACACTACGAAAAGGCGAAGGGAAAACTGTACATGCAAATGCAGACAATTCAGATCTCAGGGCCTGCTAGACCGATCACTGCCAAACCTTCACCATTGGATGCCCCATACAGGGTTCCCTGTTGCAGTTCCAAATTCGGTGACCCTAAGTCAGGCCAAAAGGCGTCAGATTTTACACAATAGAAAATTCTTCCTCGCAGACAACTTGTCATAACTTTTATGGTATCAATATATTCCGGTATTTTAGACGGGTCGCCCTGGATTGATTGGTGAAGGGCGTAATGACCGAGTGGCTAGCTTATTCGGCTCCCACGTGGGGCCCCAGGTATTTGATCCCCAGTTGCGCGATGGTCCCTTAGCACTAATGTGGCGCCCGCAGTAGAGGGCGAGCCATAAAGGGCGTGCGACGTGTGCCTTGCGCGGGAGTGCGATGAAAAAATGGGCGGGGGATCTTACGTGCCACACAATGACGCCACACGGTCTCCTACCGGCTGAGCTCACCGCCACGGAGCAGCTGCCAGCTCACCATTGCGTGCCAGTCAAGTCAGTGCACTTTCTCTGGGATTCATATCTGGATAATTACTGTAGTATCTTTCCGCCGGACCATTGAGGAGGCTTTTTTCATCCGGAAGCCGGCGGTAGCGCCGCACGAGATAAGAGCTGAGTGAACGGGGTGAATGGCGAATGTTGCACACATCTTCAACCGCGGCGGTGCGGCGCTCGCGTGCCGCTCTGCGGTCGACATGGTGCGGGCGCTTGGAACAGTAGACGGGTACCGTCCCCTTTGTGTATAGCGCGGGCCTCGGCTGTAAACGGCACCAAGGTTCCGCTGATTTAGAGAACTCTTGCTGGATGGTGGGTGGCGGCCACGCTGGCTCGGGAGGCCGAGGTCGGCCGCCAAGCGGTTGAAAACTTCGGATCAGGTGTGCCAGATGCTATAGCTGGGTGGTGCGCATGCGCAATCGAAAGGCTTGTATCAGCCCGGCGCACACACTACGTAAGCCGTGGATCTCGGTCACTCGAGGCGCTCCGCACCGTGGCCACTATGGGGTAGGTTCCTGGAGACGGGCCAAAGAGGGTGGGACTCTGCGGTCTTTACGTGGAGGGCAGGGGGCGGGGGCCTTCACGTGTTCCGGGCACGCAGAAATCCGACAAAGTGTGTGATTGATCCCGATTCATTGTTCAGGCTCTTTCCAAGTCGACAGACTGTGTTTGGAACTGAAGGGCAACGGGTCAGATTTGCGAACCAATTCTAATTTGAAAAAGGCCATTGATGCAACATCCATGTGCGGTGAACGCGTTGCTGCCCTCCGGGTGCGCTGGGCCGGGGTTGTTCTGAGGTAAACGCTAAACGAACTCTTCCGGGCTGGCACACCGTGTGGCAGGCGGATCAAGTGTGCGTAGAACTGAAGCGCGATGCATGGATGTGGCCACTAAGTGCAGTGTGTTTCACATTGATGTTTGACGTGAAACGCCGGCCAGCAACGCGAGATCTTTACAATGGCTGGCCCGCACCAACTGTGCACCGAGGGAGCGACGGAAAGGCTGGTTAGGTCGCGGTGACATCCATGCCGCTCCAGGCACAGGTGAGGTGATGAAACTTAGGGTGAGGAGACTAATGCAATGGAAACACTAATATTACAAAGTCTTCCACCTCACACTGACGCGAATCACGATCCAATCACTTCTCGCAAAGGCACCATACCTAGTCAATTCTGACCAAGACAATGTTAACGTTGGAAATCGAGGTCAATTTTGGGTCATCGGAAGGTTTAGTGTCTGAATCGACAGACACCAAGAAATCGTCTACCTCATGTCAAAGCACCGATGCCACCGATTCAGCGCCGTTTATAGGCCTCGCGGGTACACACATCTCGCATCAGTGATGTGATGTGATGATACACATCTCGCATCAGTGATGCACACAGCTGCGAAGACATGCCACTGGCGACTGTTTGTGCTGGCGCCGCACTGCGGCTAAATAAATATAATATTTTCAAAATAAAGATAGGCTATTTCCTGGCGCACCTATATCAATAAGTAAGCATGTTTTTCAGCTTGTGTAGGACCATTTCAATAGATGAACCTTCACCCAGCGCATCCCGCTTCTTAGCCATATCACTGTGCAATGTATCACTGCCGACAGCCCGAACCAGGAAACACACGGCGAGGGATTCGCTGCCACCTATATTACACATATGCACTCTGACACACACACGCACACGCACACGCGCGCGCAGCACAACGTCGGTTCACAGCTGAGTCCGCAGGACTAGAGGTGCCGCCAGGTCACGAGACCGACACCATGAGGCCGTCTCCGGGCCCGGCGCGCCGGCCGGGCAGTGCCGGACCCGCCGTCTGGCGGCGGTTTGCAGTCACGGCTCGTGCTACACGCGCCCAGACCGGCGGCAGGCGCGCGCGGTCTGGGCCCACCAGCGCGGGCCCCGACTGGATCACAATGGCTGCTCGAGGCCAGCTGCCTCTGCGTTGGTAGGTGCCAGGTGCTCGGTACGCACGAGAGCGGAGAGAGCGGGGACAGAGGGGAGAGGGGAGAGCGGCAGCGCGCGGCTGCGCGGTTAGTCAGGGGCCTCACACCTGGCGCGAACAAACTCAGAGCCATTGGCGCCAGCACGCGGGCGCGGCTGGCCGGCCGGTACAGCGGGGCGCCGGCGCGGCCGCCGCGCCCTCTACACGGTACACAATACGCACAAACGGCGGAGGCGAGCGCGCGCACGCGTGACCTGCGACGCTCCCGGCCGGCTTCCGCGATCGCCGTCGGCTGGGCCTCAGCCGACCAACACGGTATAAAACAACGCCCGATCGACGGCAGCAGATTCCAGCGAGGTGAGAAGAGACGCGGGTCACGCCGCGTCCCACTGGCCCGCCTAGCGGGTCAGGACGCCGACAGGCCCCCACCCGAGGGCGGTGAGCCGCAGCCCGCGCACGCGTGGCTTCCCAGCTGGCAGCTGAAGGGTGCTCGGCTCCTGGCCGCGTTACAACCGGAGCCGCGCCCCAACTTCGGGCCTCCGCTACGCTACTGGCCAAAACTGGCGGCTGGGCACCCACGTCACTTCCACCCTGGGGTTTTGGGGCACATAAAGCAAGCGAACGCGAGCTTTGGGCGAACGCAATGAAACCAGGCCTGTCACCAATTTAAGCTTAGCATTCAAAACCGTTTATCTCGCGGTAACAAACGACAATAGTCGGCATCGGCGGGCGAAAGCTCGGAACAAACGTTCAATTACGCAACAGCGTTGTCAATTACGTCACAAACAAAAGAGCCGCGGACGACCGGACCCCGCACCGGTCTAGTACGATGAATTTTCTAGCACCACAACAAGTACCAGCCGAGAAGATCACATCAAGTGGAAAAACAGCGTGGATCGCGCGCTACGCAGATTTCCCATTACGAGGTCGGTGCACATGGGCCAGCGTTGGGCCACTCCCTGGCAGCTTTGGGGTTGCAGTCAGCAGTTGATCATTGTGACGGTGAATACAGAAATTGGCCAGGGAACGTACCGCGACCACCGTTAAATCGGCTGCATTTCTTTGTGAAATGCACACAATCATCGACGCGAGGAGTTACCAACTGCGCGGGACACACGTCCCGCGGCGAACTAAAACTGACGGCCGTCAGTACCCAAAGCTGACGGCACGCTTGTACGGTTACACGTGGTGACGCCGCTGCTCACTGCCGGGTCAGTCAGCAGGCGCTGCTGTATGCTGGAGCGTCACTTCCCTGGTGGTGGGGGTGGCGAACGTCCGAACCGGGTTCGGCCGGGGGTCGGGCTCGGCCGACGCGCGCCCCCGACCGGCAGCTCACTTGTTCACCATGATCTTGAGATATTGCAGCGCGTTGTGCGCCGCGTCGGCCTTGGCCTTAGCCGGGTCGTCGCCGACGCCGTAGCAGACGGCGACGGGCAGTGTCGATATCTGGACCAGGCACTGGCAGCGATCTGCGGCACACGGCGGCACGGTGAGCATCGCCGGAGGCAGCGCGTGCCCGCCGACCGACACCGGCGATGGCCACCGACACCGGCGATGGCCACCGACACCCGAAGGAGAGCGGGCGACGCCGCCGCCGCCCAACGCCGGAGGACAGGGCAGCAGGAAAACACGACGTGACGAAGACATAGGCCGTGGCAGAGCGCAGGTCGCTCGGAGGTCTGCCTGTCGTTAGCCTGTCGCTAGCTAGCACGATGACCAACACGTTATGTAGTGCAGAGCAGTACACTGGTAGCGGAGAATGCCGGTCTTCCAGACGGAGCGCCATGTGGCGATCACAGTTTAAAGGGGGGGGGGGGGGGGCGTTGTACGCATGGTCACAACCTGAGCGAGACCAAGGTGCTGTCACGGCTGAGGCCCGTCACAAAATACTGCACGCTCCCATCCAAGCCGACAAAGCACCCACCCGTTGAACAGTGCGACATGCAAAATGCAGCACGTTGGGGAAGGACTGGGCTAGGCACAGCCTGATCAGCCCGAAAAATGGAAGAAGACACCATAAATTGCTGTAGAATACCCTATTCCCATATGGACAAACAACTAAATCTGTTCTTTAACATTGAGCAAGTCAGAAATAGCTAAATCTGATCATAAAGATTAAAATACAGTCCACGGTAACTTGCCAAATCTAAGCACTGATCAGCTTGACTGCAGTCAATATTCTAGCCGATTCATTAAAACTAACAGCGTGGCTGGGTGCTCCGTTATGACACTTGCAACCGGCGATGATGCCCCCATCCCCCCCCCCCCGCAGTGCATCATGTGCGCACGAAACGAAGACATCCCGAAGCTGAAAATCATAGACCTTTGGACACTGGACCCCAAGCAAATAACTGTATATCTGCTAGAAATTTCATCAAAAAGGTGTTAGACATAAGCGGACGAGGGGTCGGCACTTTACTGCTAAACACAGAGTCATCGGCGGATCAACAGCCAGCCGCTGTCGGTTTGCGGTGGAGGAGCTGACGCAGTGTGTCTAAGGCGCAAGAAAGCACATACCGATTCAAGACTGCGGCGAGCAGGAGTGTGACTACAAGAGACAGCAAAGCTATACCTTCAAATGACTTCTCGTCGATATCAACCCAGGTGATTGGGAACGTCTGCTCCAAGGCCAGCTCCTGCAGGAACTGGACGCAGTTCCACGTCGATTGGTTCGGCGCCGTCTCCTGTCGAGAACACAGAGCGCATGAGACACACACACATACCGTCGCGGGCTTCACATTCGGCGCAACACACCGCCCTCCAACGAATTTCGGCTGCTTGGTGTAAAGTCTCAAACAGTACCCCTTGATCGTCTTCCGTGAGCGAAAGAGCATGTTCAGGGCCGAGCGTGCTTCGCTCGCGCCCATCGAGCACCGCGCGTGCGAGCGCACCTCGTGAACGACCGCGCGAGGGGCCCAGCACAAACCGCCACCGCGGCGCAACGGCACCGGGAGGGCGCCGCGTCCCGGAGCGCTGGCTGCCGGCGGTCAGGGCCGTACCCGCAGCTCGAAGAGCTTCGGTCCGGCGGCCGCCTTCAGGTTGCGGTGGAACTGTCCCACGTGCACGCTGCTGGACGCCGTCAGCGGCGGGATCTGACTCGACATCAGGCCCGAGAAGTGGTCCGCCAGCTTCTGTACCGCCTGGCGGGCAGAGTCCGAGTCAGACTCGGATGTCAGATGCCGGCCGGACCGCACCCGTGCCTTGACACCGGGTGACAAGCGCGCCCTTCTGGGAGCGCCCGCCCGCGTCCGACGAGCGCGCCGGCGCCATGAGCTATGGGCGCAATGCATGCATGTAAAACTACACTGAAACATTGGGACAAGCTCAGCTACACAGGGCATGATCACAATAACATGCACTTGTACTAACGAAGCAAGATGGCAGTGATCGTCACTACGGAGGCTCAAAAGAAAACAGTAGGAGAGAGCACAGAAGGTCAAACACTGGAGGAGGGAGGGGGAGCGGGGCGCTGCATTTCCAGTCCAAGCGGAGAAAGTGCAACAAGCCATTCCAGCAGAGCAGCCAACCGAAATGCCGGCTGATTCGTGCGAGGATGGGTACGCTGGCCAAGCCATCTCGGACCTGCCCCGCCACTTCCAAACCAAACAAAGCAGGTCTGTGATTTTGTCATGTCTGAGATCGGACCGACCGCAGAAGGAGTGAGCAGTGACGAAGCTGCTAATCTGCGTGCTAATCAAGATCGACTTCGTCTGCGCCGCTGCCGCCTCAACGGGCGTAACCGTCTGCAGCAGCCGACGGCGTCAGCGAGCAGAACACCTGCCACCACCAGCCGACGGGATAGCACGCCCGCAAAAGCAAAGGCGGGACAAACAACGGGAGACGGGAGGGGAGACGGCTACCCCGCGCCGGCTGCGTATCTCCTCTCCGCCGATATCACAAAATGGCCCTTGAAGCGCACCGCCAGACCAGCGGCGCAGCGAGAGCGTGATTTACCGGAACACTGCGCTGGCTGCGGCGCGGGAGCGTCTCCCGGATCGGCCGGGCTACTATCCTCCGGCGACAGGCACGCCAACGAAACGAGACCGGTGTCCTGCGGCCCAAGGAGAGCGTGCGAGAGCAACGCCGCGCAGCAGGCGCTGTCCGCTCCCGGGGCGGATAAGGGCGTGGTACGGACGGCCGCACGCACAGCGGGCTCACCAGACATGCGGGATCACACACGCAATGCCACGACCAGGCCCACGGCGGCGCAGGCCGGCGGCGCGTCACACTCACCACGGCCCACGCAACGGCTGCCACACCGGCCGCGCATGTTACAGCCCTCCGCAAAAACCGGCCGCGCCCAAATGCGGCACCACACCCCGCCGAGACGGTCCAAAAGCCTCGGGCGGCAAAGGGAACGGCTGCCACAGTCGATGTACCAGCCAACCTTGTGGCAGCCGGCGCCGACCACAAGCGGCGCCCCGCGGGGCCTAACCTGCGGGTCGTGAGCTTCTGACGCGGCCGGGTCAGCGGCGGCATCCGCCGGCGCCGCAGCCAGCGGCGGCGCCTCGCGCAGCTTGCTCAGCATCAGGTTTGACGCCTGCCGCTTGGCGATCTTTTTCGACTTGCCCACACCTGGCGAGCAGACGGCTCGGTCAGCATGTGCAGTCGACAGACGGCGCTGCGGGCGCGCCGACCGAACCGAACACTGCTCGAGCAAACCATGGTGCTGAGACATGCAGAAGACACGACGGCAGCCCAACGAGCAGCCAGGGTTGCGATCGGTCATCACCCCATCACTCGTCCTTGAACGGCCCGCGGGACCACGACAGCAGCCCGACGAGCAGCCAGGGTTGCGATCGGCCATCACCCCATCACTCGTCCTTGAACGGCGCACAGAACACGACAGCAGCCCGACGAGCAGTCAGGGCTGCGACCGGCACCTCACCCCCGTCACTCTTCCCTGAACGGTCCACAGGACACGACAGCAGCCCGACGAGCAGCCAGGGTTGCGATCGGCACCTCACCCCGTCACTCGTCCCTGAACGGTCCACAGGACGCGACGGCAGCCTGACGAGCAGCCAGGGTTGCGATCGGAACCTCACCCCGTCACTCGTCCCTGAGCGACCAGCACATGGTCATCACCCCATCACTCGTCCCTGAACGGCCAGCACATGGCCAATCACTACGATAGAGAGTTGGCAACCTCAACACTGCTCTTAAATTACAAGCGCAGAATTTTGTGGCACATTCTCGTGCCTAACTTGGTGTCTTTGTCCCTGTTTTAGTAGCTTTCTCTTTTCGTACACAATGGAATGTCTGTGTCCCATACTGATATTCTCAATATAGCAGCAGCCCAATCCACATCGTTGTGTCCCAACACAAAGCGCAAACTGCTTGTTCTAGCAAAACATGACTGACAAACTTGTTGGCAGGTCCAACGCCCCAAGCACGAAGGCCACAAACGGGACCAGTGAGAGCCGGCTCTGTGGAGGCAGCGAGCTCCATGTTGAAACCCAGGCCCAAACCGACGTCCCGCAGCGCGCGTATCTACGACGCGCTGCAGTTCCCATCAGGATACCAGCGTTCCGAACGACACAAACCCGCTGCAGTCCATCGACCTGCGGGCCGACCGGGCGCCTCGCCTGCACAGGCGAGCGGCGGCCCGGCCGCTGGCGCTCACCGGTCTCGGTGAAGGCGGTGCCGATGCGACAAGCGATGGTGAAGGTGCGCTCGTGGGGCAGGCCCTCCTCCGCCGACAGCTCGTAGGCCGGCGGTGGGTACCGGTACGCCATGCACAGCTCCTGTAGCTGGCCCACCGGATTGCCGGGGATGCCGTCGTCGTACGGCGAGACGAGCTGCTCCAGCGGCGATTCGGCCTGCGCGGCCGGCGCCGGCGCGCCCGGCGGCGCCGCCTGGTTGCCGAGCACCATGTCCCAGCACGGCCTTGGCCACGGCGTGTTTGGCCTTCTTCTTGCTCTGGCCCTGACCGCTGGCGATGAACTCGCCGACCGTGGCGCGGTAGAGGAAGGTCGGCTCGTGCACGGCGCCCTCCACCTGCGGCGACGGCACGCACTGTCACGTCCGCGGACCGGGGCCGAGGGGCGACGGGTCGGCCGGCGCCGCAGCGCGCCAGCCGGCCACAGCATGACGGCCAACGGGCGCTCCTCTCAGCCACGCCTGGGTCCACTGGGCGGACAGTGCGGTGCTCATGCTCTTGGCCCTTCGGCTGGTCCGTCGTCGCGGAATGCTGTGGCCGCTGAGGCGAAGAGGTGCATGCCTTATGCACAGACCAGCGGCGTGGTGAAGAGCTTGGGTCCACTTTACCCAGGTTAATGGACAATTTGCAAATGAGCTATTTCAAAGTTAAACGCCTTTGACATGCCTTGGTGTGATAAGTACGCGTTACGCTGGCTTATAAGAACTTAATTTACGCGATCACGATTGCCCAGCTTATAAGAACGTGAGTCTACATATGAGTGCAGACAAACAATGTGAGTCAATCAGTGTAGTTCATCAGGTGGTGGTGTCAAATCCCATTGAGTCATACCTGGATAAGGTCATATTTGGGAGTGATGCCCCGCTTGGCACACAGCTCCTGCAGAAGCGAAACTGGAGTCTTGGATGGCATTGTTGGCATCTGAAAGCAGCATATCATATTAGGTTCTTTGGCCATAACATCGCTTTGTTTCTAAGTCTTTGCTATTTCAGAGCTATTCCCTGCAAATGTAATTTACTGGAGGCAAGAACATAGGACACCCCGAGCTACTGTACAGTGCCACAGTTCTTGCATTTTTAGCACACTAGGTTCCTGTACTGACTTGTGCTGGACTCTGGGCTGGGCTTGAGTCAATTCTGAAATTTGCCTTATTTGTATTCAGTCAGTAGGAGCCAGTTTGAAATGAAACAAAAGGATAAGGGTCACAGCCATCTGCCTTGCTATCACAATGAATGCCAAATATATGCTTCTATGAAGTCCAAGGAACAGTTAGAACACAAACCATCACAACTGGAATAAATGGAGTGTTTTGGGTGATACCTGCATTTTCCTAGTGCTTGTGCTGGTTTGTTTTGTGGTGCTTTGTCTAGTATTTTCCAGCATTAAGCAAACACTTAAACCAAATTCATAATAACCACCATGTGGAGAAATATGCATGCATGACTATGACCATGACTCTGGCATGGACTGCCATTTACCATAGCTGCTGCCATCAGCCACAGATCATAAGTCAGGAGAAACAGCCAGTGTTTGATGAAACTCAAACCCATCCTGTCACATGTGGGTGAATTCAAAGACAGGTGCTTTAGGGAGCTGGGACACTGGATTAGGCAAATCAAGAGGAGCAGCACTTCCACTACCATTGGCAGGTTAAAGGGACACCTTTTTGGTCTTGGAGCACATGACCCACAAATGCATGGAGGAGACATTGTTTTTTGCCTAACTTTACACAGTTTCTCTGCCAGAGTGCATGATGGTGACACACAATGCATAATGATGCAATATTTAAGGCTAGATGTGTCAAGCATGTCAAGCACACTTCAAGTTGATTATCACCATTAACATGAAACCAGGTGTTTTTTCTGCAAAGGATGTTAAAAAAACAAAGAGTTGCCACCACAGTGAAAAAGGATGTCCTTAAAATAGTATTTAGATTCACAAAACATGATAGAATATCACTCCAACCATAATCAAAGAGCATCCAATATGAGAGTCTAAAAACCCAAGCCCATCCCTCATGCACTGCTGACTGCTGATGTAAACATCAACCTATTCCAAGCAGCTTTTTAACATCTGCTGAGAACAAACACATTATGTCAGCCAATCCATATTTCACCATAGTATTCACAATGTGAGCACCATATCAACACAAACAATGGTTCATTGCCACCCTCATAACTCAGTTCAATGAGTGCATTGACTGTTTGGCACAAATGTGGGATGATGTTTTAGAAACTGCAATGATATGATTTGCCAATGGTCACCACTGTTGGTCATTATTCTTGGTGCTTTTATTCCAGGTCAAAAATTGGTGCTCAATAGCAGTTCCAAATTCAGATGGCAGCTGTTGCCTGCATCTTGTGGGTACAGATGGAGGATGCATTTTCTGAGAGACACCATGCCAGCAGTTAACATGCATGTACTCAGCAGCAAATTTGCTGAAGATATTCTAAACTTCAAGATCACATTATCTATATCAGACTGGATAAGCTTGAGTGGGTGCATAATTGGATACATTTTTATACAAATTCACCACATCTAAAGAAACAAGTTTGCCATTCTTAAAAATACTTAACCATCCCATAAGCTAAATAAATCAGTGTTAGGCCTGTGCCTTCAACAATTACATACATGAAAAACACTGAACTCCATTTTGGCATAGAGTTATAATGCTGTTAAAGTCTTAGCATATTTTTTTACTAGCTATGAACCTCCTAATATTGCATACCTACTTGTTTTGAGCTGTCAAATTATAGGAAACAACCCATTCAATCCACCAACTTAAACAAAAACCCACAATAACCAAAGGTTATAACCATGATAAGAACATAATCTGCACAAACCCAGGCAACCACTGATCCTACCTTTGCATTTCTATTACTCTTCTGGTGAAGCCAATTCTGGTTTGTAGCTAGAAGTATTGGCTGGTCTTAAAGGTTGCAAAATCCATATTTCATCACCTGTACCAAATTGAATTGAACTGATGTATGTTATGTGCATCCAGTATGACCCTAAGACCAGCTTGTTTCAAAGTTTAAGTATTCTGTCACAGCAGTCTAAGCACCAGGGCCCTAATTACCACCTTGTCCACATTCAGTAACACAGACTATCATCAGTCTGATTTTGCCATGTCTTTATGGGTAAGCGAAAGGTGGCAAGGTCTGCTCAGATCAGGCAGCCAACTGCCAAATCTAATGAAATTTATTACATGCTGGTCAGTGGTATCATGATGATGACAATGATGGTAATATTGATTTAGGGTTTTTATAACATCAGCTGCCAATGATACAGCATCATCAAGACTTTGCTTAGGAGAGAGCCAAATCAGGACAAGGTAATCACTTCCAGCTTAAGCAGCCTATATTATTATTTAGGGGTCCTGATTTCAGGTTTCATGCCCTTATTAGGTTTAGGATGCCACTTAAGCATGCCAATAAAAAGTTTCTGCTGGCAAATATCTGGCCAACACCTTCTAAAACAACTTAATATAACCATACTGGTCCATTTCACATCACTGGCTTGCAGCAGCATGGTTTGCTATGCAAAGGTCTAGGCAGCTTTAGCCAGTTTTTGCAAACAGCAATACATGCCAGTCCTCCTACACTAATGATAGCATGGCATCAGCAATTGTTTCAGCTGTTTCCTGACAACCTAGCTTTGACATGAGGAAAAAGGGTCACATCTATACAAAAAAGTTGCTTTCCTCTAAAAGGTAGTCATTTACTCACAGTAAAATTATTTACATTTCATAAGTTATTCAATAATGTAACACCCTCTTTGAGAGCATAAAAGAATGAAACAACTTGTCTGCTTCAAAGTCAATCTATGTCAATCCCCACTCATGAATGATAAATAGCAATGCCTACATAGGCATCATACTTTTATTTTTATTAGGTATTTGGACTAATGTCAAACTATGATGGTAAACCAAATGCTAAACCACATAGTTAAAGAAGAATGGACTGATAAAAGGTGATACACATTGAGTGCAAGGACTATCAACATATTTTCTTGTGTGATGCATCAACAAACCAAAGAAAACTCACCGCTGTGCCGTTCACCGCAACCCCATTGGAGTTACTGTCAGCATCCATCAGTGAGTGATTAGTGACACAAACTACAGTTATGCAGGATCAAACAACAGGGATACAACTATAGCAGTTATTAACTGAAATTAACGGGACCATCCGAGCTTATCCAAAGGCCCCGATCTTTGGGGTTTTCGCAGCTCACACTTCCTGCACCCTTTTCTCCCAGAAATACGTCTGAAACAGATGAACACATGCAACACATACACGGATGGTGCATATTTGTTTCCAAGTCGCTACGGACTTTTTCCTGACAAAATATCTCAAGATAAGCCCGTGAATTCAACAGCAATGTTATCAGAATGCTACCAGATCAGAGTATAAAATGCTATTAAATGCGAGGGCATGCTATATGATAAATGGTGCGTTACAGGTTGGCGTGTCTCAACCTCTGAAATGGCAAAAAAAACCGCATAGGGACAGTGTTCGGAATCAAAGCAATGATGCGAAGGAGGTTCTTTGAGCTAAAAAGATACTAAACATAACTGCATTCTCCAGGGTGCATGGATGAAGGGGAGGGGCGAGGAGGGAAGTTTTTTTTCCATGCGTCCAACCCCTGTATAACAAATAATCACACTCGAGAAAGCTTATGGGATCATCCTTACCCTGTAGCACCCCCGTCAATGGTTTTCGCTGGGCACCAGTGGCGCAGGCAGGAGAGGGGGCACAGGGGCACGAGTCCTCCATAAGTTGCGAGGGGCCCTTCGGAACCCTCGGACCTACGATTAGGGGACTGGTTTTGGAGATCCGGAGGGCCGAAAGACCGGCCAGGGGTCGCATTTAGGGGCCCGACCGCAGGTCTGGGCGCTTCAATGCCCACTCCTCCAAAAATATCCTGCATTCCAGCTGTCACACTTTAAGATCAATAGTGTGCAAGATACAAGACAATGTTCCTTGCAGTGTTGTAGTGAGACAACACAACAATGTTCCTTGTAGTGTAATACTCAAGGGAGCCCCTTCACCTGAAAGAAATAAGGGGTATCGTCAGTGTTGAATGGAAGTGGGTTGAAAAGACTTTGTAACACACAAGGCCATCCCATGTTTGCCCTGAAAACGTTCATTATTTTTCAGAATCGACTAGTGAAACAAATGCATCAAAAGGTTTGATCCTGGTCACCGGGAGCCGGTAGTATAGCAGTGAACACGTGTTTGTTTAATCATTACGCAGCTGAGATACCCCAGGTACGGGTTTAGATTCCCCGTGGTGCCCGCCCTCCTCGCCGGATAACACTACTTCACAGCACCGCCATCCATGCAGCCAACTTCAAACAACGGAACTACTGGCCATATTTTCTTCAAGCCGGCACCAATCGAAAGCTATTATACGGCTTAAGTTGACTTTCTGAATCTGGTGACCCCAGGCCACCATTTTTACCTTAAAAAATCGCCTAAACCGCTTCAGGGCATTGCAGCCAAGTTCAAACTCGGAAACCGCCCTCAACCGATCTGCTTAAAACTTTTACTAGAAGATAGAGCGCATGCGATTTTATGAGGAGTTCAGAAACCGTTGACCCCAGGTCACCATCTTTACCTTCAAATACCGCCTAAACCACCTTAGGGCATTGCAGCCAAGTCCAAACTCGGAAATCGCTAAACTAATCTGCTTTTAGCATTTACCAGAAGATAGAGCGCATGCAATTTCACCAGCCGTTTTAAAAACTGGTGCCACAGGTTACCATCTTCATCTTCAAAGGGATGAAGATAAAGACGGGATAAATACGGGAAATCCCATCTCACTGTGCACAGCCCTATGGAGATAGGCATGTTACGTATGCACATACTTCGAGCTCATTCATTTTCTCCATATCACGTTAAATCCTGGGATTTTTAATCTAGGCCGTTTCGGAAAAACAGGCAAAATAAACTTAAGTTGGCTTGTTAAAATACCACCGAGAGCCCAGCACGGACTTGATTCCTAGCTTATTTACGGGTAGGCGGCTGGGCGATGAAAACAGCGATGACTAATGACAATGCAAACTTTTCTTTGTTATAAATAAAGGAGTACAAAATGTCATGCAATTAAATATGTTAAGAGCTTGATGCACAAGTTTGATCATTGTCACACATACTCAACGGTCAAGGAAAATGACACGTGCGACGTCAGCGGCACGTAAACTTACGTTCGACGATTGAGCTTAGAAATTCATCGGCGCATATCCGATTGCTGCTCTAAGGCAGCAAGGCCAATAGGAACATAACCTGACCGATCGTGGGTGGCGTGCGAGGCCAACAAGGAGGCTTCCGTCAACAAGTGCAGGGTCTTCTGGGCAAGTGAAAAGAGTGACCTAGCTGCTGCCCCTGAGCAGCTAGGTGTACCCTGACATATGGGGCCCTCGGAAAAAGCATATAGAGCCTTTCGTAGGATGGGAAGAATCGGTGGAGGGCCCCTGAACGATCAAGAGTGGCCCAGGAATGAAAGCAGATAGTGTCCCAGCGCAGCCTTGGGATCACCCACAGAAAAAATGTGAAAAGATCAAGGGCAAACGTGGAAGGCTCCATGGCAGTCAGATCGACCAGGCAAGTGGCTATACATGGCCCGTGCAACAGCGTAAGGGGCCTTTGTACTGCGTAATGAGCCCAAAATATTTCCTTATCACCCACATTTTCAATCACAAGAATCAATTTTGCTTGCTTATAAACTATTTGCTTTCGCTTGCAACATACTGTCGCCTGTAGACCTAAAGACGGGCAATTTTGTTTTGCTTTTATTAGAAAACTGCGTCCGTTCAGAAGCCGTTATCGACCCCCTTCGAAGTCTATGGGTCTCCTCGCATGGTCCGGTGCTTTTTCCCCCCGATCATCTCCCCCCCCCCCCTCTGTATCAGCCACCGGCCCGAGCAGCTTTAAAGATGGGGCTCACCAAGAGCACAGGGCTATCCACTTCAAATACGAGGCACTCTAGACACGCATGGAGGACACCGGAGGGATCGAGCGTACCCGAGCAGGGGTTAACAGATAGAGCCCCGTCAAGAAAACAGGGCCTTCCATTCAAATATGAAAGGCCCTGAATGACCCGAATGCGCCAAGAGCAGGTTAGCAGATAGGGCCCCGTCAAGAGCGTAGGCCCCTCCATTCAGATAGGAATTACGCGATGTAGAGGTCCCATAACGACCCAATGTGTTCTGACCAGCCTATCAGAAGGAGCCCCGATAAGAGCACAAGGCCCTTCATTCAAATAAGAGGTAACCAAAAACCCAATGCGGAGAGCTATCGAACACATGAAGCCTAGCCGAGCAGGTTATCAGATGGCCACGATAGGAGCGCAGGGCCCTAACTTCAAACACCAAAACCTAATGTGCATGGTCCCAAACAGCCCAGTGTCGCCGAAGAAGCGAACAGAGGCCCCCCGACGAGTGCGTGGGGCCCTCCATTTAAATAGGAAGCACCCAAGCCCCAATGCATAAGGTCTCCGAACGATCGATATGCCCGAGCAGGGTTATCAGATATGTCCCCGACAAGAGCGTAAGGGCCCACCCATTCAAATAAGAAGTACCCAAGACCAGCATGGAGGGCATGCAAAAGATCGCGAGTGTACCCCATGCAGGCTATAGATAGCCCCCGAGGGAGCGTAGGGGTCCTAGCATTTAAATACTCAGTGTGCAAGGCCCAAAACGATTCAGTGTGCCCAAGCCGGCTCACAGATGGAACTCCGACAAGGTGCGGGGCCCTCTTTTCAATTAGAAAAAAACCCAAGACTCAGTGTGGCGGGCCCCGAACGACCGATGTGCCCTCAGCAGATTAACAGATGGACACCCGGCAAGAGCGTAGGGCCCTAAGCAAATCACAAAGAACTGGAAGTGCCCCTGACCAATTTAGAGTATCCATGAGCATACCACGAGTGTGACGGTAGGTTAACCAAGGCCAATATAAAAGGCCACTGAGCGACCGATAATACTCCGGCAAGTTAACATATGGGACCCCAGCTATAGCGTACAGAGCCTTTCTGGCGAATGTAAAGAATCCGTGGAAGGCCCTGCGTGACAAGGGGGCCCCTGCTCTGGCACGTGGCACGTGACAAGGCCCCTTGCTCTGGCACGCCAGCAGGGGGCCCAGCAACAGCCAGGGCCCTCCAGGCAAATGCAAAAAATCGAGGGCAACGTGGAAGGCGGAAAGAGCATGGGGCCTCTGGACAACGTAATGAAGCTCAAAATTCCCAAAAAACAGCTTTGAAATCATTGAAGCTTTTGTCTGCTTGCAGGTCCTTTACTTTCGCTTGCAACTGTTCTTACTCGCCTGCAAGTCCAAAGGCGCCCAATTTTGTATCGTTTTGTTCATAAAAACTTGCACCTGTTCGACCGACCATGGGCTCTGAAGGTGCCCATGGTCGGCCGAACAGGTCCAGTTTTTGGCTT